GTACTAGAAATACTAATTAACTTGAAACTAGCCAGCAAAGTATTAACACTTCAACGCTGCTGTAAAGGTTTAGTTTTAACAGCTATTTTATATTCAATTAATAAATAGTCTGCAAGATCATATACCTTTGATAAGATATTTAAAGCTAAAATAGGAAAGAAATATTTGTTAAGTTAATATTATTAAAAGAATTAAAAGTAGAATAAATATAAAAATGAAGAGGTATTGTGATTTTTATACAATAGAACTTCACCGAACTTACTTGTTTAACTACAACTTCTTTCTACTTTCAAGAAAATAAACGTTTCTTATTTGCACAGAAATGTATGAAATAGAACTTTTATTCATTATTGCATTTCTATCTTTTATTTAAAACTACGTATATAGATGTTAAAATTGCGGAAAAATTTATGAATTACTGTGATCAATAATGAATTACAGGTGTACATACATGTATGCACATAATATGTTTACAGGACACTGATTAAGGACCACTTATTGTACTGTTCATGATGATGTGGCAATTGTATATGAAGAAATAAATTATAAGTACGTAATAATTATAGATTGAAAATTTGTGGAGAACACGTGCATTTAGATAACTCGATTGAATATAGATGAAGGATGTAGCGCGCGAGTAGCGGTAGATACAATGTATCGAGATCGGAGGGCGACGAGCAGGCCTCGATGCGTTCGCGACGAAACAAAAAGACGAACGACGTCAACGTGAGGGTAGAGAGAGTCAGTTGTGTGTAACATTGGCAAGAAGAACACCTCGTGCCTTTTAGCATTTTTTTAAATTTATTGATTAAATCTAGCGATTATATGCTATCCAGGATGTCAGTTCAGTGCAACCCCGATCCTACATAGATATTAGAGTAATAGACAGAAAGTTATTAGTTGTAGAAAACACACATTTATTATTGTGATTACATACGTACAGTGAGTCACAGCCAAAATCGTACATCACATATACGAATACGTTTCATCTCGTGAAAAAGTTCAGGAAAGATATGGGGGAAAAAATATCATGAATCTATATTGTAAATGTATCTATATTTATTATATAGTAGTATCAAAAGGAACAA